TATATATATATATATATATATATATATATATACACACACACACACACACACATATATATATATACACACACACATATACACACATACATATATGGAATTTTCCCATAAATTTCTTTTAAAAGTGGATTTTACCACATTCCTTAAAACGTACTTACCCTTTCATTCTGCACTGTGTTGAAAGCCTAACTACCGAGTATACATCATCTTTTGGAATATTCAAGCTAAAATTGCATCTGATCTGCCCCCCCATACCACCTCCAATGTAGTTTCTTCCCTAATAATGACATCAGAAAAAGTGCTGAAAAAAACAAGAGAAAATACAATTTTTTTTCTACTAACTTGTTAGTATAAGGATCAAAGAAGAGCATGAATGACAAACCCACACTGGCATATGATACAGTTTCTTTCCTTCATTCCCAGAGTAAAGCTGACTTCATAGATTGTACCGTTAAATGTGAGAGAGATATTCCGGGAAGTCATTGGTTCATAGACTAATTCATAGAACAATAAAGTGAAAAGGTCAAGGCAGCAGACAGAAATCAGCCTGAGAAGTAGTCCTGGGACTGTAGTTCACTTTCCCTGTGCAGCAGAGTGCTGGCATGTGGTGCATCTCATGAGTGCCCCATCTCTGTGCACAGTGCACCAGCGGCAGGACGCTGTGACTGGGCCGTTCCGTGCGAATTCTCGTGATCAGGCTTGCTGAGCTTTTGTCCACGTTAGAGAAGGTTCCTGCTTTCTGCTCACACACAAAATGCCTAATCTTCTGGCCTGATCATCCTCAGCTCACCTCGCTCCTTGATGGAGGCACTGGCTATATTGCAAATCCACCTGCCCCTTGGGCCATGGGCCTTTGTGCTAGGCAGAAACTGCAGATCCTGGAGAACTTGAGAGCGCTCACTTGTAATTGTTAGCGACTGGGGTTAGTGCTGTCCTTTGTAGTAATGCACAGTGAGCGTACCCTATCTTGCCTGCAAGTCCCTGAAACGTGTGAAGACCACTCTTCTGCCCTCAGTCTCTCTTGTCCATCATATGTTCATCTGTCTTCTTCATCCCTCTGTGCCTTCACAAAGGTACTAGGCCTTATCACGATCCTTATCATCATCATGGGCAAAGAGTCTTTTCTGAATGCAGCTGTGATCTGTACCAGCACAGGGCTCATTGCAGTGCTCAGCACCAGATAGTCTTGTCTCCTGGGCACAGCTATTAAGTGGATGTTTTTCTTTTGTTGCTTTCGTTTTGATCACTTTCCTCCTGTTTTTTCTTCAGCACCATGCTTTCAACTTACTGCTTTTACCAAGTCTCTTTGTCTCTTTCTCTTTTTCATTCTCCTTCAAGCCTTCCATTTATTGGAAATGTCTCTTGCCATTCCTGATCTGATCTGATGCAAGGCGGTCATAAAAGGTGTTCATAGCCTACGACAGTGGGGCCCAACTGTGACACGCATGCTGCTGTGGGCTCTTTGTGTTGCTGAAAGGTGGAAAGGTTCTCCATCACTGGTCTAAGGCTTTCTTCCTTTCAGTTTTACCTACATCTTAATAAAAATCTGCAGAATAAGTTTCACGTATAATTATACAGCTAGAGAGAAAGACAATTCTGTGTGAAAGATGGGTTTTTATTACCCCTGAAATAATTGTGAGTGCATGTGGGTCAACTCTGTTTTCAGCACTCACTTGTGAGTGAAGAATGTGGAAGTTTTCCCCCGGACATAAGGAAGAGTCATCGTGGGATGCATGTGAGGAAGTGGTACAATTAAATATGCTGTAAAGTCATTCTGGTTCCAATGGGCTGAAAGGTGGAAGGAAGCTAGGGAAGAAGCTGTTGTAGTGAACACGGGAAAGAAGCTCAGGACCAGGTCTGCAGCACTGACCTAGAAGAAGCAAGGGATGTTGCCACGTATGTGAGGATGAAAACATTAGTGCTGGCTGTGGAGTGGTTTGGGAGACAGGGTGAGAGGAATAAACTAGAACAAAGTCATTTCCCTATTTGAGGAATAGACCTTGAAACACACAGCATAACATGTGAGAGAAGATATTTAAAGCAGGACATTTTGAACTTAAGGAGTTTGAAATACCTATAGCACAGGAAAGAAGGTGACACCTCAGTATCTGATCTCAGTTTTATCGCTGGACCAGTAATTTTTTCCTGTGTCCAAATCAAGTCTAATCTGGTTTTATTTCAAATTCAATACCAACATTCAGTATCAAACTCAACATTACTTGCCTTGAATTTTGTCTTCCTAAGGGAGCAATATTTTTGCTGATGAGAGGGGATCCCAGCAGAAGGAAATTTGTCGAAGGCCCAATGAACAGCAGAGGCTACAGATGTCCAGTGCAGAAAGGGTGTGTTGTGTATCTCGAGACTGTAAACTCCTTGAGGCCAAAAGCATTATTCATTTTGATCATTGTGCTTTAATATGTTTTACAACTGTGGGCACTCAGGTTTTGTTCATTTTCTGTATTTTTGTTCCTCTTCAATGATTTTATTTAACTTATGACATATTGCATGAAAATTTCTATTCCTGGATAGGGTCCGTTACTGTATAGTCAGATTCTACCTGAATGATTGAAAAAAATTAGACTTCTAATTTTTTGTAAATAAAAATAATATTTGCAGTACTGAGTACTGCAAATTAAACACAAGTTTAATTTTGTATTTGTTTTGAAGAGGTTGACCAAACTAAGCTCTGGCATAAAATCAAGACTTGATACACTGATTCTTAGCATATGTATTTTTTCACAATGTCCTTACTTACTTTGAATGGATGTATAGAACATTTTATTATTTTACATTGTGTGGTTACAACTCCCTGCTGTGGCCACAAATGATACATCTTTTTTGATAATGTAATCTTCCAAGTTTGTTAATATTAATATTTTACATTTAATTATAGCTTTCTTTTCATTAGAATTTAATATAGAACATTTTTACTATCTGAATGTTAACAGGCTTTTGAGTAAGCTATGGGAGAATTACAATGTAACACTGCTGGATATAGAATGATTCTCTTGGACACCAAGACTAATAATTTTTAACAATATCTAAAAACCTTGTAGGAAAAGCTTGAACCCTCCTGGCACCTGGAACAGACAGGCATGAAAGATTAATGTAATCTTTCCCATAATGATGCACATTCTTACACAAAAGTTCCATCTGCAGTGTCATGTCAGTCAGCAGAAATCTTTGATGGGTGGGTACAGCTGGGCTGTCTCTTCTGGCAGGGCTACCTCAGAAAATGCAAAGTGTGGCTGTGATGCTTGGTGCCATCTGCAGCGTGCCTGTTTATCCTGTCTTCAGTGGCATTTACAGTACTGCGGAGGGCATCAGCGACCATGGAGACAGCAATACAGTGTGACACATTCATTTCCTCAGAGGACCCCAGGCTCTGGGGGACCTGTGTTCCACCCTCCTCCTAGGTTGGGTCTCTTAGCATTGATTCTGGCTTGACTTTATATTTTCACATCCATCTCTTCATTTTTTTAGTCTGGTGGTTCCAGATACACATTCTTCTGGTATGTAAATCTTACACTAACCTTTCCACTAATTTATGCATGTAAGGTTGCCAAAGCGATTTAACATCGACTGTTCACTGCCAGCTAATATGCTGTATTTTCAAAATACTCCTGCTTCCAAGCTTCTGATTTAAAGGACTTGTGTCTTTCTTGGAGAATACTAAACAGACAGACACCAAGATGAATGCTCTGAGCACTGTGTGTTGGGTATCCCCAGATGACTTATGCAGTTGGAACAAATATGTGAGCCTCTTTTACATAAAGCTATAAAACTCACCAGGCAACTAACACTTAATCCTCTTCCCTATGGTTAAAATGTAAATATTCAAGAATAAATGTTGTTTTATGACCTGATCATATGTTAATCATATTTTGCCAAGCAAGTTAAAAAGTCATAGATCATTATTTGAAACTTTCCCTTTTGTGTGTGTGTTTTTTTAATAGTAACAGAATATAAAGGCCACGCACTGTCCCTGCTTAAGGAATGTGAACTCCAAGGATTCGATGGGTAGGTTACACGATTGCTCTCTCTCTATCATACGGCTTGTATTAGTAAATGCTGCTTTAGGTTTTAGTCGCATATCTGGGACCTGTAATCTTTAAATATTTTGATATATGTAATGAGGCTGCTCTTCGTATCTTTGTAATGATACTGAATGACCATACAGCATGGCTTCCACCTCGCAGGGTCTGGCATAGAGAAGCAAAAATAGAAATCTAATTATAAATCTTGGAAAATCACAGGGCGCTACCCGGTACTTACATAATGTGGACCCAGCTGCATTTGCAATTCTTAATTTTTGGCTTTTATCGCGTATCTAGGAAAACGTTGATGGATGATATTACCTTGGTCCCACGGTATAATTATGCAGTGATTCTCTTTTGCAAATGTATTGATAATTGTAAGTTTCTGATACTTAATTTAGCTCTGATTGATTGGGGTAGATGTTTTGTAATAACAAAATATTCGTTTCAGAATGAATAAAAGATGATAATTTTAATTATCTTATAATTTAGTGACCATCAAAATTGTTATTAATTTAGTGACTATCAATGGATGTGTTATGCATAGTAGGCCCTGAAAATTGTTTGCAATATATTGGTGGATGATGCAGTGATTACTGGCATATAAATATTTAAAACAAGGTTAGTGATATACATTTAATAGCCCTTTTTTAAAAATCAGGGGAATTGAAGTCCAGGGATTTAGCTCAATGGCACCATGCCTGCCTTGCAAGCACAAGGGCCTGAGTTTGATCCCTGGTACCAAAACCAAACGAGCAAAAAATTCAGGTGAATTGATTTGCTAAAAGTGATGGGTTGATATATGACTAAAATATATTCCTTTAGGGAAGATATTTTGCAAGAGTGGATATCTGAGAGCTTAAAAAGTTGGCAAGTGTGAAAATGACTTTTGTTGCTTGGTGATGGGCAGGAAGCAAAAAAAAAGTCTCAGAATCAGGAAAGGAAGGGGCATCTACACTCACATAAAAGTGAAAGGCTTTAATTTTCTCAAAGAAATACTAGGATGTGTAGAAGAAAGTGATCCAGTCAGAATGGACCATGGATAGCATTGCTTTTCACAAATGTTTTAACATATTTTGCTTAATGCTTAACATACTTTAATAAGAAAAAACACTGGTGAGGATGAAAGTGTTGAATACGTGAAAGACGATTTAGCAAAAAACATTAAATTGAGATCTAACTGACATGGCAATATCATACAAGTAATGAGAATTGAGAGAGTGAGGTAGGTCATTACATCTGTGTGCTTAGAACTGCACAGAGGATGTATGGATTACATTTCAGAAAGCATCTTAAATGAATGTTCAAGAAAAAGTGATGGAGAAAATCATGCCCACAATGTACCCATTTTAACATGGTCCCAAACTCTGAGGGTAGGACATGAGGGTAGATGCATTACAAGGAGTCCCTGCTTTAAAACATGATTATATAAATATGATAACAAATATCACAGATATTAAACCTCAGCTTGCCCACCAGCAAAGTGAAATGTTCTGCAGAATGTGGATACTGTAAATAGATTCTGCTGGTGATTATACTTTGAGAGAATTAAGAAAAACTTTGCAGAATTAAGAATGAGGATTGGTCATTGCCTAGTCATAATGTTTTTCTCTTTACCCGAACATTTTAATTCTTATTTCTAATGCAGATATTATTTTGCACTGCAGTGCTAAACAATACATAAATACTTCAATTATTACTCCTATATTCTGAAAGCAAATTGGCCTGACCATTATATGAATGGAATTCTGTGAATTTACTGTTTACAAACCCTGTAGAATGTTGGTTTACTTTGAACTACTAATAATGTAACATTTCTATTAGAAGTCATTTATGTTCGCAAATCCTTTAAACTGTTCATTTATGTTTATAGGTTCATTGTGTCCCGGTAGGAATTGGTATGGTGGTAGGGATATTTTTTGGAATAGAAGGTTAATTTTGAGTACCCATACTTAGAAATACGTAGAGAAGATATGGGGAGATGAATGGAAATTTCCTTTCATTATGTGTGTCAGAGCAGTTACTCCTTAACAAGTGGAATTGTTTGAAATCGAGTGGTCTACATAGGTGAATTTCCTAACCTCCAGCATGTTCAAATGGTGAACTTAGAAACACTTTGCCTAACAATTATAGGAATGGCAGAAGTACTGGTATTGAACCTAGGAGCTCAGATATGCTAGGCAGATCCTCTACCCACAAGCTACATCCCCAGCCCGTGATTAGTTTTGAAATTTTGAGACAGAGTCTTGCTCAGTTCCCCAGGCTGCCTTTAAACTTACAATCCTCCTGACTCAACTTCTTGAGTTGCTAGGATATTATTTCATCTGGATGAGAAACGCAGTCATATTCCTTCAAGATCCTTAGCCTGAGACATCTCTGTCTGACTTTAGCAGAAGTATTGATAGGAAGCGATTAGGAAGTCACTACTGATTTTGAACAGTTTGGGACACAGACCAGGGAGGTTACTATTGAAGATTCAATGTATATTATTCAGCAAAGCAAAAACAATCTGGCAACTGATGTTTCAGAAATGCCATTTCCTAAGGTTTTAGAGCTTTAGAAAATGTGTTCCATATGTTTCTGTGAAGACACATTGTGACATATTTCTAAAGTCAACAGAAACAGTATACCAGTGCTGATGACAGATGCTTTCCCCACTGCAGTGAATTCTAACAAACACTCAGACCCACTGCTCCAGTTGGAGGGGTTTCAGAGTCCACATCGCCCCCTATTTATGCTGGGCATGGAAAGGAGGTTTTGCAAAGGGAAAGAGAGGAGTAAAGTGAGCTGCATAAACTTCAAGCACAAGCGCTTGCATTTATTAATTTGAATATAGTTAAACCAACCTGTAGCTTTAATGCACTTATAAATATATTGATTCTTTCTTATTTGTTTCCCAAATACTTTTCTGTTACCAGGACTTTTCTGAATTTGTTGAATTACAGTTTTTTTTTCTTTTGTTTGTTTCAACATTCACTAGATCTAGAATAATTGAGACATTATTTGGCTAATATTGACACTGTATCAGACTGACCACGGTATCTGTGTAATTCACTAAAGCAGAAGTGAAATATGTACAAACACACACACACACACACACCACTGAATCAAGAAAGCCAATAACATATTCATACTTCTAAGATTATATTGGTTGATAGACAAATATACAAACAGCCCTTTATCATTTTTTATTCTTCTTTAGAAAGAGGAAATAAGATACCTTGCCTCAGTTTTACTCTTCTAGGCAGAATCATTCTGCCTGGGGCCATGGCAAGGAATTTGCTTTCTCTGAAAACAGTAATATGTACCACATACAAAGGATTAGTTATTCTATAGTTTGTGTTTCAGGATAACCCTTAAATGTGGTTAAATTAACTCCTTAAAAGAGTTTAAATAGTTTGCTTTTGGTTTTGCGTGTTCTTGCAGTATCTAATCTCGTGTGATGTTTAGTATTATGCATAGTCCTTAGGTTAACTATACCTGGGCATGATCTCAACGATCTATCGCGTGTTGACATAAATATATGCCTCCTAACTCATTCAATTTCATGTTGCTTATACTAGTTTTCAAATTGGTATTTAAAATAAAATTCTCAAGTCTATTTTCATTGGGTTTCATGTATAAAAGGAGTATAATATATTTAATAATGTGGTCTCTAAGGCCACATTGCCTTGTCTCAAATCCCTGTTATATCACTTGTTGGTGATAGGATCATGGAAAAGTCAGTCTTTGCCTCAGTTTTCTGATCTGTAAATCGAGTCCCTTAGTGTCTACTGCATACAGTTACTGTAAAATGAGTTTTTACATGGGAAGTAGGGAGAGCAGTGCCTGATATGCATAGTGACATTTACTACGTGCTACTTTATTGTTATATTGGTAGTATGGGTTTCAAACAATTTAACACAGAATGGGTTGTGACAAAATTTCAAAGGTTTGGCAGCAGAGAACGCTTATGGATGAATATAACGGTATTGTGTGGCTAAAATGTACCAATAAACTTAATGGAAGAAAAAAATAAAAAAAAAAGAAAGAAAGGAAGGCCACCTCTACTGACGCTAGCAATAAATTACCCTGTGCAGGATGCTGCAACTGCATGCAAGATGCCAGGAGTCAAGTGCTGCCATCCTATGGAGTTAAGAGTCAAGTTCTCTGGTGCTAAACTACATGGGTTTTGGATGACTTTATACGGCCCTTTAGGTCACACATATATGTCAGCATGTATAGACATATAGATGAGCATCTGTAAGTGCATGGAATGTTTGGAATTCTCTTGGAGAGTTTTGAAATGAAACAGGCAAAGTTCAAATCAAACATACTGTATGACAAGTAGCCCTTGCTGATAAGAGCCCACGGGCATTTTGGTTTGGCACATGGCTTTTAATAAATGCTGGGTGCTAGTATTTATAAATTAGGAGATTCAATCAAATCTGTGTTTTTTGTTTTTTGGTTTTTTTTTTTTTTAAGAAAAATCAGATCTACTTTTCTAGGCTTCCCACATGTTGTGAGTGGGCTGTAGCTGAGAAGCCACTACGCCTTCAGAATGAGGACATTATATTCCTGCTGGGCCTTTGTAGGCTTGCATTGTGACACCTTCTTGCAGTAACACAAAATCCTCCTCCTTTTGGCTAAATTGATGACAGGTTGACAAATTGAGAATTACTTAGCATCTTTAAAATACAAAGGATTATGAAAAAATTTCCTGATTTTTAGGTATAATTTTTATGGATCCCCTCTCTTCCAAAATCTACTTACCATTAGGTCTCAAAACAGTGACAACAACAACAGCAGCAACAACAACAAACAGTAACAAGAAAGGGGGGAAGGGGAAGTCGAAGGAGTAGAGGAAAGGAAAGAAGGGAATGGAATTAATATGAGAAAATGAAAACATGGAAACACAGTCTTTGTAAACAGGGAGGGGTGAAGGAGTTGAAGGGAGGGCAGGGAAATGGGGAAAAAATAAAAATCAAGATAGATTATGTAAAGGTACAAATTTCCAATGATAAATGCCATATATTGTATACCTAAAATGTACCAATAAAATATGATAAAATGCTAACATTGTTGTCTATGATCAAATGGAATTGATGCTAAATTGAGAAGTGGCATGTGGCAGTAAAGTCACAGAGATAAAATCAGGTCATGTTTACAGTGACTACATTCACATACTGATGATAGATAATTAGCAGTTCTCTAAATGAAAGCTTCCTATTTTACGCGGTTTTTATTGCTGTCTTCAGAATTTTATTGAGAATTAGCAAATTTTACTACTTTGGTATGTGTTAATAAATTGCAGATGGCAGTATTATTAAATGCAATGAGAATGATATGCTTTTGGATGTTTACAAGCAAATACAGGTTAGACATGAGTTAATATATTCAAGTGCTTTAATGTCTCAATTTGTTTAAAATATTTCATCTATGGGTATTATGTAGGGGTTACATTTATAGAGTAAAATTTCACTGTCCAGTGATTATATCTTCGCAGCCATTGACACATAGTAAAATATTTGAAGTTGTGTATGAGTAATCATGCACATTTAAAATTCCTAAAATATTTGAAAATCTCCATTTTATGAATGATTACCAATTATTTTGAAATGCTGTTTTCTTTTTTCTAGTATTGTCTGTGTTGGTGGAGATGGATCTGCCAGTGAAGTAGCCCATGGTTTGCTTCTCAGAGCCCAGGAGAGTGCTGGGATGGAAACAGACCAGATCCTTACTCCTGTCAGAGCACAGCTTCCTCTCGGCTTAATACCCGCAGGCAAGGGGTGTCCACAGATGTGTTAAATCGACCCCCTCCACTATCCCCTCTCTTGCTTCCTAGCCTGAGCAGTATGAGCCAAGTTAACTGTATGTACTTTGGGTTTGAAGATCCAGGCTTGACTTCTGTCCTCTTCACCATACAAATGCAAGATTCTGGGCAAGCAATTTTCTCTCTTTTAGCCTTATTTTTCTAATCTGTAAAGTAAAGATAACCTATAATGTTCACTTCATTACAAGGTTATTACAGTACTGAATTAGTGTGGATGACGTGCTTAAATACATAATTTAAACAAGCCATAGAATTATCATCCTGCCTTCCATCAAAAAGTCTATTAGTCACAGTACGGGACAGGAAGGTTTCACAAGGCCTTTCCAGTCAAGCTATTCTTATTTCATATGAGGCAAAATGTGGATGTCATGCAGTTGAAGCAGAAACAGATGACCTTGAGAATACCAGGAGATTCTTTCTGACTGGAGAAAGAATCTGGGCCCTAGAGGATCAACTCCCTCAGGGCCAGGCTGGTTACCTTTATATCCACTGAGACATTTCTGGTTCCTGGAGGAGACTGGGACCCAGTGAGTACACGGGGTCACTAGTTTGGGGTTCCAGCTTCCTCATTCCACCAAAGAGGAGAAAGTCACGTGTGGGCTGTGTTCAGTGTGAGGATTTAACACCTAGCCCAGGGCTTTTGATGGAGAATAAGAACAAGAGCGAGGCAGGAAGTTTCCAAGCTGAACATGAAAGTACGTGATAAAATGGATGAAGTGAATGAATGAATTTTTGAAAGATTATAGAATAAAAACACTAGGATTAGGCCTTAACGTGGGTAGGATCTGGCTAGGAAAGATGAGAGTGACTTTTTTTCCCCCCTAAGGTGCAAAGTAATAAAGGCAAGGGAAAATCCAAGTGTGTTTGAGGAATAGGAGGCTGCTGGATGGGAGAAATAGACCAAACCATGGCTGCTGCTGCAGACTGCAGGAAAGGGTCTGAATTGTATTCGAGCAGCAGCAGGGGACAAGCGGGTGTTTCCCACCAAGGCAGCAACCTGATGGAGCCGTTCTGGGAGGATTCTTTCACAGGATGCAGAATGGTTGGAGCAGGACTATTGTCCAAAAAAGAAAAGAACTTTTTCACATTTATTATGCTACCTAATCCACTTGCCCCTTATTAAAGTAAATGGTAATTTAGGAAATTGCTCCTTTTATTTTTAAAATGTGCATCATTGCTAAAACAAAAGTGGAAAAGATTTTTCATGTGACAATAGAAACGGACGTGGCTGAAAGAAAGTTCAACATTTTATTTGATAACCATATATATTTAGTTTGCGTATCAGTATATTTCATTTTATTGTTAATTTGACAAATAACATAAGATATCTAAATATGTTTTTAGAGTACAAAGCCTTACATAAAGGCAATAATTTAAAAAGGATGAGATATTAGGGTATATCGTAATAATTACAAGGTACATCTAGAAAGATCTATAATGGTTTGTAAGCAGAAGTTGACAAAACAACCTCACTTCAGAGAAGAAAGACGCATTTTGGAGCATCATGCCATGCTGTTTTATTTTTTGACCTTTTCATGTGATTTGTGTAGTTCTGATTGCATTTGGTCGGATGCTTCCCGCGTTCCCCTCCGTACAAAATGGATGCGCTGTACTTCGGGCGTTGTTTCTCTTCATCCGCGCTTACATTCCTGAGCCTATTCCTTAACTGCTGTGGTTCAGAAGTGGAAAGACGCGTGTTCCCCAAAGTATGTGTCTGACATCAAGTGGGTAGTTCGCTACCAAAACTGGTAGTCGTGCTTACGTTTTCAATGGTAACCCTGATTTTATAAAGGAGTAACACTGAGTTTATAGTTCAAAGCATATCTCTGATTTTGAAAGTAACCCGTGACTCCAGTTGGTGTTGTAAAAGTGCCATTGTAATCGTTTTTGTTTAGATGAGGGGAGTGACTGCTGCCAAACCTCTGGGTGCTAGATAGGAGCTCCAGCTTCCTAATTCCATCTCATAGGAGGAGAAAGTCATGGGTGGGATGTGTTTAACAGGAGGAAGTTATGCCTAGTCAGGGCTTTTGAAGGAGAATAGGAACAAGAGCTAAGCAGGAAGTTTTCAAGCTGAAAATGAGGAGACAGTCTGCCTTTGAAGCCATTTGCCTCCTGGAGAGAGACACCCAGAGGGAGAGTGTTTAGTAAATTATTCCACTGAGCCAATAGACCAAGCTGCTGAATTATGGACAGATTCAAATGCATCAGATGTGGGGAGGCCTGTATTTGAACTGCTGGCCGTTAGGAAATGTGTTTGTTGCTATGGAAACTGGTGTTAAGGAACTATACAGACAGATTCCTATTAAAAGTGGGGAGGGGGTAAACAGGAAAAAGCCTGAGAGGACATAAAAATAAAAAACCAATCCAGTTGTTGTAAAACAAGGCTTAGTCCACATACTGATGACTGTGAACCATATATTCCTATAGAGTTTGCGTAAATAAATTCATGCTTTCCAATTAATTTGAGGAGAATAAAATATTGCCAAGGGACTGTTAATTTCTATGATATTTCAGGCAAAGAACCAAAGTGTAGGTGCCATTTTCATGAGAATTTTAGATATGCTTGACTAGGAAGTCATTACATCACATTTATCTGTTTGGATGTGGGAGACATTAACAGCCTTATGAATATTCATGAGGTCTAGTTAATTAAGTTAATTGTTCTGCACAAGTGCTTGCACTTCCAAGGACAATTTTTTTCTTTTTTCTTCCTTCCTTTTTCTGTTTTTGGCTTCTGTAGTTTAAGATTCTGCCTTGTATTTCATCAGTCAGGCTTTCTATGAACTGCTACTTTTGTCCGTGCTTTTTCTGTTTGGCACCTTTTAGAATGTCTGGAGATGTATTGGTGAGCAAAGCTGTGGCTAGTGGTAAGGAAAATAACTTTACAGACTAATTAAAATGTTTACCTCGAGGTAGAACATTTATAGCTTTTGTGAGAATGTTAAAATTACGCCGTTGTTAGGCGAGCAGCAGGTTCTTTAGGCACGTAGGCCTCTTTCCAACAGAATCCAGTTTGCTGAAATAAAAACTGACCCATTTTTTAGCCCAACAGAAATATAGAACTTTATAGAATATTAAATTTTTACTTGCAGTTTTTCATGAACTTCTCTGTTTTCTTCTGTGCGTAAGAAACCATGTTCAAAGATTAAGGTATGCCTTAATAAGTAGAAGATGACTATACTCATGCTCTAACTTCTGCTTATGCCTAATACTACTGCTAAAATCTTCAGAACTAGAAAGAAATTGCAAAGCCCCCAGAGGGCATTACAATAAAATCAATCTCTAGCAATTTAAGAGGATTTGTGCTTGAGCATACTTCCAAATCTCAGAATAAACAGTCTTCATTTCCTGGAGTCATGATATGTGTCCTTCTCTATTGCACATGACAACATTACATTATGTTTTCTAATAGCCTTTCTAGGGGGATGCTTTATGGTCTATTCCTAATTAACCATGGTAATAGAGGAAATGTATTTCATGGAAAACTGTAATTCATCGATAATTCTATATATCGCACTCTAATTATGTGGCCTCCTCCAAAATCTTTATCACAGCTCTGATTGGGAAGAAAAATGGATTTCTTTTCTCTTTTTACCTCTTACTTATTCAAGATGAATTTGAAATTAGATGGCCAAAGGGCAAGCTGTAGAGAGCCAAGAGATCATTGGAAAGGCCTTGGTCAAGATAAAGAGAGTAATCACTTTCCAGACTATGTGTTCTCAAACCCAGGGTGTGTACAGATCATCCTGAGAACTTGCCAAAACACACAAATGGCCCTCTCCTCAATGCATGCACGCGTGTGTGCGCGTGCACACACACACACACACGCTCAGGCACACTCTGATTCCAGGAGTTGGAGGTGGGACCTAAGAGTCTACATTTTTGTGAGGCTCTCAGGTTATGCTGAGTAGTAGATTACACGGTCCATACATGCACCAAGACACGATGTGTACAAATCACAGGGAGATCTTCAGAACTGTAGGCTCATTCAGCATATCTGCAAGTTAACCTTTAAAATTAGTCAATTTAATTCCATTAATTACTCTTTCGAACTTTGTTGGTTGTTGTTGTTACTGGGGATCAAACTCAAGACCTTGCGCTTGCGAGGCAGGTAGTGAAACCACTGAACTAAATCCCTGGCTAATTACTCTTTTAAACACCTTACCCTTATTTATTTTAAATTGATATAAATTTTTATGCACTGACTATGAACAACATGTTTTGAATTAAGTATCCATTATAGAAAAGACAAGTTGACATAGGCACTGTCTCATATACTTATTTTTTATGTATGTATTTTTTTGTACTGGGGATTGAACTCCATTCCTTGCAATTTCAATGCAGGTAGCTGAAACATTGAGCTAAATCCCCGGCCCGCATACACTTACTTTTTATAAAAATAGTTGCAATCTACTCTCAGCTACTTTCACGTGCATACTGTTAGCTGTAGTCACCATGTTTTACCTTACAGCTCAGATCTTGTAACCTTTAACCAACATGTCTCCAACCTTCCCCTCCCCCAGCCCTACTCATTGCTTTTATGCATTCAACTCTTTTAGATTCTGCCCTGTGATTGAGACCATGCAGTATGTGTCTTCTGCCTGACTTATTTCACCTGGCATTGTGTCCTCTGGGCTCATGCATGGTGTCACAAATGGTAGGACTTCACTTTTAAAGGCCAAGTAGTATTCCATTTTGTCTGTACACCATGTTATTCATCTATTCATGGTTACATGAGTTGTTCTATACCTTGGCTGCCATGAAGATTGCTGCACTGAGCGCGAGGGTGTAGATGTCTCTTCCACAAACTGATTTCACTTTTTGGAGGTGTAATACCCAGTAAGATTGGTGCATCAAGTAGTACATCTATTTTCATTTATTTGAGGACCCTCCATAGCAGTTGTTTTCCATATCAGTTGCATCATTCTACTTCCCTACCAATAGCATACAGGCATCCAATTTTTCTACATTCTAACCACATGGATTTTTTGGTGTATTTTTTTAAAAAAATAACAGCTACTCTGACAGGTTGAGGTGATGATATCTCTTTGTGGTTTCATATTGTATTTCTGTGATTTGTGGTATTGAGTATTGTTTTCATATGGCATGTATTCATTTGTTAATCTTTGCAGAAATGACTATTCATAATCTCTGCATACTATAAAGTCAGGTTACTTGTTATTGTCACTATTTTATTTATTGTTATTATTACTGTTATTTTGCTACTAGTGTCATCGTTATTTTACCTTTGAGTTGTTGCGGTTCCTTCTGTATCCTCAGCTTAATCACATTTCAGTGAGTGGCAGCCCTCCTATGCCTCAGTGATGTCAAAAGGTTAGAATGGAGCTGAAAAATTCCTATCATAAAATGAATATATAGCTGAAGAAGAGGCAGAAGAAAACTGCATATTAAAAAACAGGAACATTTATAGTGAGAGCATTAGTAAAAGTTTTACAAATCTCAATACGCTTCTTTAAAAGTTTGAAATCTGTCAAAGTTTAAAAGTTTGGAATTTTAAGTTTGGAACAAAGACAGGTTTACACTAATTGATAGGAACTTTCATGATGCTCTGCATTACCTGCTTATGAGTAAATCTATGATTGAAAAAAAGAAAACAAGTCAAGCACTATGGGCTTATCTCTAAAGAGGGGCATCTGCCCAAGAACCCAGTTATGTGAAATAAATCAGACACACAAGCTTAAATGTTGCATGGTTTCTCTTATATGAGAAACCCAAAGTCTAAACAAACAGGGAGATTGACCTGCAAATGGGAAGGGGATCAAAAAAACAAAGGGAGGAAAAGGGAGGGGAGAGGAAGAAGGCATAAAAATAATTAATATGTGCTATGTACAGGTACCAACTCCGCACAATAAATGTAATCATTATGCACCGCAAACATGTACTAATAAAAATAAAAAAAAATATTTGAAAGGAAGAGCCTCAGCCAGGTCCTTCAGAGGAGAGAGAGCAGAGGAAGGCATTCAGAGGAAGGCATTGTTGCCACGGGAGGGGCAGCTCCACGTGTGCTGTTGCCTAGGAAGACTTTTCAGTAGGATGAGATGTGAAGAAAGAAGACAGTGACATTGATGATCCTGAGCCCATGTAGCCTAGTCTGGCGTGTGTGTGTGTGTGTGTACTTTTAACAAAGAAGATTAAAAAGTAAAAAAAAAATAAAGTTTAAAAATAGAAAACTTGTAGAATAAAGAAAATATTCTGTATAGCTATGCAATGTGTTTTCATTTTAAGTTATATATTACAGAAAAGTCAAAGCTTAAAATTTATTTTAAAGTATCTAAAGTAAAAAGTTACAGTAAGATAAAATTTATTATTGAAGAACTTTTTAAAAGTAAATTTAGTATAGCATGAGCGTATATACATATTTATGACGTCTTTGGTACTGGTGGAGTTACAGCCTTGCCTTTCACGTTCACACACTGAGTAACCTAGAACATATTTTGGTCATGTTCATGGTAGGTAAGTGCTCCCATGGGTGTGCTATTTCATGATCTTTTTACTGTATGTTTTCTGTATTTAGATATGTCTAGATATTTAGTATTGCATCACAATTTCCTACACTATTCTGTATACTAACATGCTGTACAGGTTTGTAGCTTAGGAACCTAGATGTGTAGTGAACCATATTATCTAGTTTGTGTGGATATACTCTGATGTTTGCATGATGATAGTATTGACTAAAATATTTCTCATAATGTATCTTTGTCATGTGATATTTGATTATATTTTACATGTTAAAGTCTTATCAGCTGTAGAGTTTCCAAATATTTCCTCCCATTTTGTACATTGTCTCTCACTCTGTGCAGAAATACTTTACTTTGATATAATCCTATGTGCCTACTTTTGCCTTTTTGTCTGTGTTTTTGGGGTCATATTCAAACCATCAATGCCCAGACACATTTCATGGAAATTTTCTCCTGTGTTTTCTTCTAGTAGTTTTAGGTTTTACATTTTATTCTTTAATCTATTTTGAGATGATTTTTTGCATATGTTGTGAAGTGTCTAATTGCATTTTTCTACATGTGAATATCTAGACTCTTATTTTTGTTGAAGCTATTATCTTTTCCCATTGTGTTTTCTTGGCACTTTTGTGGAAAAATCAATTGAGCATAGATACTTGAACTTTGTGCTTATGGAATTCCCATTCTGTCCTGGTGGTCACTGTGCTGTTTTGATTACTACAGCTTTGTAGTGTAATTTTGAATTCAGGTAGCATGGTACCTCCAGGTTTGCTATTCCCACTGAAGATGATTTTTACTACTGGAGGTCTTTTGTGGCTCTGATGCAATTAAAAATATTTTTGAAAAGGCCGTTTGAGTTTTGATAGGGATTACATTGAATTTAAATAGACATTTTACCAATATCAGTTCTCCCAATTAATGAATATATAGTATCTTTCCATTTATTTGTGGCATCTGCAGTTTCTTTCATTTATGTTTCAGAGTTCTCAATATACAACTATTTCATTTTTTTCTTTAAAATTATTCCTAAGCATTTTATTTTTTGCAAATGGGATTGTTTTTTTGATTTCTTTTTCAGATAGCTTGTTGTAAGTGTATAGAAACACCACTGCTGTTTGTATGTTGATTTTTTTTTTATCATTTATCTTTACTCTCTTCATCATAATTTTAAGCCCCTTTAAAGAGTCCTGGAAATGTAAGAGGCTAGGTTATATTCTCCTATTAGAAGATGGCAGGTTTTAGGGCCACATAAACATTCTAGAGGCTTGGCTTTGGGAGCACTTTCCTTCTGTAGGCTGGTAGGGAAAATTTATGTGGGTCTTAAATTGTCTCAGTGATTATGAAAAGCAGATATTATATCAAATACAGATTTTTCACACCATGGTAATATAAAATAGCTTCTTCATATAGGAGACCTTTTTTTGGTCAGATAATAGAAAGGAGTCCCTTTTGTGTTGGAACTTATCTCTAAGGTTCAGTAGATGTATTTAGGGAATGCCTGTTGAACTTTATAGTGATAATCTATTTTTATATTAGTTATTATTGAGATATTTCTTACTATTTATGCATCTGTCTTTCCTCTTTGGAATCATCCTTCTGGTGCTGGTACTTATTTTGATATGGAAGCCAAAAGCCCATTCATTAGTTTGGTGGAGTAGGCATTGATATAGCAATATTTAGAAAGTAGAAAATAGATATTCATGACTTAAAAACCAAAGCTGTAAGTAGATACTATAAACAATGTACTAATACTTAACTCATTTAAAAGTTGAATAATTCTCCAAATATTTTAGACACATCTGTGTTGTGAATGGAAAGTTATACTTCTAGCATTTTCACAAACTTCTGATATAAACTTCATTACATTTTCATCTGAACATTACATAGTAATATGTATATAAAATAGGAGCAGATATCAATTTATAACATATGCTGTACTGATAGTGCATTTTTAAAAATTGCTTTGGTAGGATCTACTAATGTATTGGCACATTCTCTTCATGGAATCCCTCATGTGGTCACTGCAACTTTGCACATTATAATGGGTAAGAATTCTTCTAACGTACTTCATGTGTTATATAGAAGTTTTTATTTATGCAAGAAACACCTTTTATTTCCATTAGACTTATCAAAGGAATGATAAGTTCTTTGCCCCTCAAAGCAGAGAAATGTGTAACTAAAACTCAAAGTCAGATAAGGATTCACTCTTTGGAGTCCCTGTCTTTTCAGAATATTTGATTGGTAAGGGGCAGTTAATGAAGTTTCACTCTTAGTTACTTTTCTCATTACTCAGACAAAATATTGATCATCCAAAGTTAGAGAAGGAAAGGTTTATTTCAGCTCACAGTTTGTAAAGGTTTCTGTCCATTGTTGGCTGGCCCCAAGGTGGGGCAGCATTGCTGAGAAGAAACCATGGATGACAGAGCAGGCAGAAGGCAGCATGCAGCAGCAGCAAAGCAAGCCTTCCTTTCCCTTTTATCCCATCCAGGGTACAAGCCTGTTGGGTGGTGCCAGCTACACCCAGGTGAGCCTTTCCATTATCCACACCCAAAACTATGCTGAACCAATCAGTGGACTAATTTAGTACCATTCATTCTTAATTCCAGTAACAAACACACTCAACCCAGCCAAAAAGCCCCATCTATGAGCATATGGGACTTTGGTCTACATACAAGCCATAACACATTCTAATCTTGATAGAAAAATACATTATTATGCTATTTAATATCACAGTTTTTTAATCAGAGTAAGAAAATCTATGCATACTACTTGAGTTTATAATCTATGCTACTGTTTGTATGAAGAATTTTAGGGCCAGGATACATTAAGAAAAAAAAACATACAAGAAAAATATTTTGACACATGCACATCTGTAAACCATTGATTATCCCAGTTGATAAATACAGTATACAACTACTGTTCAATCTAAGTTCACTTAGCACATTTACTTCAGCTTCACCTCCTTAACCGTGTTTTATATGAAACAGTAACTAGCTGCAGAATTTACTGTTTTTGCTTTCTTCACTGGGTATCAACAGAGTTACAAATGACATTTAGAGTAGTTACAGGCAAAGAGAGATGAGAGAGCAAGAGTGTACAGTATAGTGTGCAGCACCTTGAGATGTTCTTCTAGAAATAAATATGCTCTCTGATGGTTGATACTTTGACAAGTGGCCCCAGTCTGCTTGCTAACCAGCATTCAACATCATATTTAAGGACACATACAACCCGTTGATGTCTGCACCTTTAGCACCACTGGCAAACTTCTTCGCTTTGGGTTCTCAGCCATGTTTGGCTTTGGTGGAAGAACTTTGGCTTTGGCAGAAAAATGCCGATGGATGTCCCCTAGCAAACGGAGAGACTTTGCTGTGATTAAGACCCTGGCAAGGCTTAAGTAAGTGACTTTTTTTACACCAAAAGTTTTGTACCATAGGATCAATGACTATTAATAACAAGTTTGATTATATTTTAGGCCAGAGGATTGTGAGATATCATTTTTACCATTTAATGGCTCTCAGGATGAAGGAGAAAGGTAAGTAAAAGTTTAATGTAATGAAGATATCTTTACCTTTCTGTAAAGCATATTTTGCATAATTAATGAGGCTTTTGATTATTGAGTATTTTCTATATATACTAATGAATAATATAAAATCATGGGCTCTTGCAGGTTCTAGTAGGCATGTAGTTTGGCTTTTGTTTTCAGAAGTAACCTTTATACATCCATTCATATAGTCATTCAACAGCTATTTGAGTGCCTGTTGTATGCCAGGCACTTTGGATACAAGCATGAGCCAAACAACAACAACAAAAACCCCTCACAGTTTGAGCCCTCATTGAAATTTTTATTCTATTATAGAATACAAACATTAATCAAAGCCACCCTAAGGTAGGGCTCTAGTTGTTAAATTTGAAAATCATTGTTCCTTATAATAGTTTGCTGCCTTTAAATGAAGTTAGATTATAATGGTGTTGGTAACAAATTGTTCACTTATTTTTATTTGCTATCTAATCAATCAGAGAAAATATTTAGTATTTGCAGTGACAAGCTCTTTAACTTTCTCATATCTAATAGATGCTAATTGTCTATGTGACATATTTCTGTCTCTGTTTTCTTACCCTGAGGATGGCACGGGAATCTGTGAAATCTGGTGAGTCTAAAAGCATCTCCTGGAGACCTGAACCAGGCTGCCCTGGCCTTTTGCTGTGGTGAGGAGAGTAACCAGTCTCTTCCATTACCTGCAGACTGTGGTGAGCAATGGCGGATGACCCAAGGTCAGTTCCTGAACGTCAGCATCATGGCCATTCCTTGCCTGTGTTCAGTGGCACCCAGAGGCTTGGCACCTAATACCAGGTTAGTAAACATTGTTTTTATTGAAACATCAATATTTTCTATAGGAAACAAGGTTTCTTTCATAATAATGACCAGTTAACTCTTGGCTAGCTGGAAATTTAGAGATAGTCTTTCTTTGTGTAATTATTAGAGTTTCCAAAGGACTTGCCAATTTTAGGTTAGAGAAAATCATTAAACTCTAAAAAACTGATGAGCTGATCAATGGCTTTGAATGTCATTAAGGCTAAAATAACATTCCTTGAGTTTCAGTGAGGTGATTTTGTAATTTTGGTTGCTTTTTAAATTTATGTTTATTTACTAGTTCTTGAGAATATTAGATTCTGATATTATGAGTGTCTCTGCTATCCAATTTTAATTCAAACATAAATATCTTTAGCATGAAAAAGATAGTACACATTTATATCTATTTGGAACTTTCAAAGGAAGTACTTCAGTTCTAATTAATGTGAATTGTGGTGCATGGGAATCTACTGCCCATTTTTTAAATTAAATAAATTCTGAGGCATTTTATAGGTCTCATCCACAAAGTAGCAAAATTCCTTCTCTTGCACATTCTTTTTAAGCAACTATCCATTATGAGTCTAAAAAATATTTCTCTTATAACTTAATCCTGTTAAAAAGAAAGAAGAAAGGTGTGAAATACAGTCAGTGTTAGATTTTCCCTGGAAGTGAGATGAAAGAATGACTTACGTACTGTGGCAGTTTGTAATTTTTATTGATTAGTTTCAGCTTCCCTGCAAAATATTTAACCAAAATGACTAACAGCTAAAAAACTGGATTGCTTTTTAAATTGCTTCTTTGGCAATTGATATAAAGGCAATAAAATGGGCAATATCCGAAGTTAGAGATGAAAAAAGAGAAACTAACAACTTTGACGTCTGAAAGCCCAGACGGCAAGGCAAGGCCCTCCCTAATTACCTCTATTGTTGAAACTCAACAGGAGTGTTTTGAAGCTCTTACGATTTAAAAGTTGAGCCTGGTTGTTTCCCCCACACATCCTCAGAAGTTGTAGAAGTAGAAGCTGTGTGCTTCTCTAGTGCAGGTTCCTCCGCTAAACCTGAAGCTGTGACTGGCTGATCCAGGAGCCCTGCTCCTGCGGGGCTTGAGACACTGTTGTAGGTCCTACTCCGAACCTTCATGGGCTGGTCTTGTTCTAATAGGAGGAATCGATTCACCCTTGTGTCCAGCCTTCCTGGGATTCCACTGCTGATTCTCTCTCTGGGCTTTATCAGTATTGATGAGTTTTTCAGAGAAGGGTGATTACTTAGAAATTACTTCTCTGTGTTAGAGTCAAAATATGCCATTTTTGCAAGGGCCTTTAGAACAAGCCTCAGCTGACTAGAAATTTTATGGATGTAGCTTTGAATGATTTATGATAATCAGACCAGAGTTCCTACTTCTAGCTTTTTTTTTACACTAAAGTTTAATTTACTTCAAAATAACTTTAGTGCAAAAGGCTAATATGAACTGATAGCCCTATACTCTAAGTAATCTAAGATTAAATGTGCTAATATATGTGAAATATTTGGACCAGTACCAGGCTCATAGGGCACATTTTAATTGCAAGTAATTATTACAAAACAGACATAGATAATACTTGTTTATAAAATTATGGAATTTTAAAAATAAAGGATGCACCATAACACCACCCTGGACATCTTCATGCTATTTATTTCCCATGGGGAAAGAGGTGGCCTGGTGGATAGGAGAATTGGACCTTGGCATGAAGAGGTCTGCCATTAGTGAGCATTGTGTTTTTCTTTGTGTGCCTTTGAGCACATCACTTACGCCTGGGGTGGTCTCTCCTTTCCCCTTCTCCGATGGACCTTTCAGAGCTTAACCCGAGCTTCCATAAGACTTGCGGAGCTTTTTTTTTTTTTTTCCTCTGTTATGTTTATTCTTGGGATAGCTTAAGGTTCTCACTGAAATCAAACTTGAAGTCATTTGCATGTATTTGTGCAAACTGCTTTCTGAAGTTGATGCGTTTGCGAGTGGCTGTTTTGGGACTCACCCCTCTGAATTGCCAGTCTCTCATAATGGGTAGAACGGTTATGCAGGACCAAGATGCTCAGTCATTCTAACTGAACATGTGTGGCAGTAGTTGTTCACATCATTTCATAAAGCCAGGGCCACTTGGGTTTATTTCGTTTCCTATGTCACTTAGACCTCTTGCCCATAGATAAATGTTTAAATCATACGTTAGCTATTAGAAAATATTGAGGTTTATGTTATACCATTTGTACATATGAACAATTTTATAGCACAACTCTAAAAGCTGTATAGAATTTCATGTTTAAAGAATTTAAATTGTCTTGATGTATGAGTAGGATGCATGATGGCTCATTTTTTAAAGAGCTCTGATGTAAGAGTTTGCTAAGAAGGAATCCCATGGTTCAGTGAAACTGATTGGAAAGGCTACATCATTTAAGTAACAACACAGCAAGATATGGTTGAAGAATTTTAGGTAAATTTGATGGGGTGATGATTTACCTGACTCACCTTATACTTCTAGTAAACAGTATGCTTGTTATATGAAATAATGTGGAGTGATTTCTGATGTAGTCTCTTAAAAATGTAAAATACAAATGTATAATTTCAGATTAAATAATGGAAGTATGGCTCTCATAATTGTACGGAACACTTCTCGGTCAGAATTTATAAAACACCTGAAAAGATATGCCGGTGTAAAGAATCAGGTACAGTACATTATTTTCGCTATTTATTATGGGGAGCAGAAGGCTTGGGAGAGTTGACCAGTCTTGTCTCATAAACTTCCTTTTCTTCTGAATATATTTATCTTTCTTTTTCCAATATGTAGTTTATGTAGCTATGCAAAGCGTCTAGTAATGTTAATGTAGACTGGCCTCTTTTGAGATACAGTTTGTACACTTTTTTCGCACAAATGAAATGAGATAATTAGCTGTACACTGAAATCTGAAGGGAATTAAGGATATAATTACGTACGCAGGCTGTTGTTCAAAATGAGAAGCAGTAAAATCTGAGATGTTAGCCTTCTTGGGTTTATGGAGACCGACACTCTAAAGGTAACCCTGACACTTAGTTACACATCTGCCTTTGTTCATGACTTACAATAGATTTGCAGATGTGTTTTAAAAACACCCCTATTACTTTATTTAAAACCATAATGAATAGAGATATATGTGTTTCCACCTAATTGATTAGCTTTAAAGAAAAGGAGGAACAAGCCATTGTCTTTTGGCAGATATTCTGACTCATTTATTAGTGCTGACACACAGAGGTGTGGTTATAGAATCCAGTAGTGTCACACATTATGCAGGGGGTAAAATGGTGCTTGTACATAGTTGGAAAAGAAGAGATGTGGGTGGGGTTGGAAATCCAGCCAGTGATCAGCCACTGAATCCGCTTACATACTCTCGCCCCACTGCAAGATTCCTACTTTGCCTCATAATTTCAAACCAAGCCAGCCATCAGGATGTTTGAGTTCTTTTCCGCCTACCATATTGATCAATGTAAAGTCCAACTGGACTATTTAAGAAGTTAAATCACAAAAACTACACTTTCCTTGTATATAAATCTCTAAGAATGTCAAATAGGCAAAAAAAAAGTACATAGTAGGTTGGGAGCGTACGCAAGGACTTTATATGTGTTGGGAAAATCTAAATTTATTGACTCTTTTCAAAGGAATGTGCACCTTTTCATATTTCATTACATTTTTAAATTCTAAAAATGTATTTTTCTTAATCAAAAAGCAGTGCCTGTTCATTGTTTTTAAGTCAGAAAGGAAACCAAAACAATATAAAAAAATCACTCAATAGTCCATGTTCCTGTGGATTGTCATGACCTTGGTATATAGAATTTTCCTAATCCTTTTCTATGAAATATATGAAAAGTCAAATGAGTATTACCCTATTAATATATCTATGAGAGGCTCTACATTTATTTAAGGGATGCATGTATTACACTGTTTAGAGAAGTTCTTGTCTGGAATTCCCTCACAGGGTCAGTTTCTAAGGCAATTGGCAATTTGTATAGACTTTTTTTCAAGAAAGCATCTTCTGATTTCAAAACCAATGCTCATCTTAAAAGTAAAACAAAAAGCATACATAATGAAAGTTTATATAGAAATATTTTAAAAAGGAGACCACGTTATTCAAATTGTATTTGACCTGTTTCTACAACATACTCTGTCACTATCATTCCTATTTTGCTTTTTTTTTTTTTTTTTTTTTTTT